GCTCGAGCTTCCTTAAGTTCAATTTTGCCCTGTGACCAAAGGGCACTCGTGGATATGCGGAATAGTGATTAACTTGTCTAGATTATATACTACGCTACCACAAAACGGGTTTAAATACCTCTGATGCTGCAGATGAGACCTAGGCGAGGCCAAAAGTGTAATCCCTTCCGGCCTGGATAAGAGCACCTTTTTGGAAGTAAGGTCATGCTAAATTCAATGTAAACGTAAGGCCTACTCATATGCTTGTGAAACATATCAATTGCAAATCCTTCATCACCTTAACGAAATAAATTGAATACATCTCATCTATTCATTTGAGTATGGGAAAATTTTCATGGCTATTGGTTTTAAAGAATCCTTTGGCGAGTTATTGTGACTTAACTTTTCATTTCAAGGAAAAAATTGGTTGGCAGGACGTCGTGAACTGGTAGCGTTCACTCCAACTTGGAGTAAAGACATTTGGATTTTGAGATTAAGTCCCCAGCTCATCGTCCTGCGAACCGAATGAATCGATGCCAAGCTTTCATTGGACACACATCGTCAAAACTAACAACCATCATACATGCGAAGAAAAGTTGCGCTTCCAGGAATCTCTTGTTTCACAATTGTTGAGCTTACTTCCATTTCGAGTGAAAATGTTGGGTGAAGAGATTCGAAGGTCGGCTCCACCAGAAGACGACAGCGGATTCCACTTGACCAGCTGTCGATTGGCTTTACTGGAGCATTCATGCTGACGCTGTTTCCGAGGCGATCTCCTTCGATTCTGGTGAAAAGGTGCTAAGCTTTCGTCCGTCATATGACCAACATCATCAGAACGAGGTAACATCGTCACAACAAAATTCAAGCTAACGAGTCTTCTGGTGGAACCGACCTTCAAATCTCTTCATCCAACAGTTTCACTCGAAATAGAAGTAAGTTTAATAAAAACCATCATTTGCGAGAACGTATCGAGGCAGGCTGTAACCAAACTCATTTATTATATCTATCTTTTGTGATCGAAATGTAGCATCCATTTATGTGGGTGGCTAATAAATGTAAAAATATTAAGGTTTTAAGGAATCTCTTGATTTAAAATTTGTATATTCTACATCCATTTCGAGTGAAAGTGTCTGGTGCAATACTACTACAACATTTTTTTTCAACTTTCTTCTCTCTCTCACTCTATAACACACTCTATGGGGTGTTGATGATGCATTTCGTTTCCGTCCTGGTTGGTGACAACAGTTTCGCCAACTGGAATTCACGGCTTTCCAGCGGTTTCAACTCTCTGGCAAGCGCCATCTCCAACCATTCTATGCATGGCCATAATATGACCGACATGTCCGTTTCAACGCCGCCAACCGTCTCATCAACCGCTTCGCCTGGATCTCGTTCGTTTGGTGTCCGACCCAGTTTTAGTGTCGCTTCTCAGCATGACGCTTTGCTGACGGAACTGTTTGAGCGTGGCAATCCCACCACCTCATCCCTCATTGCCCATCCGCAGGACAATCCCAACCCGCTGTATCCCAATTTCTCGGGAGGCAGTCAGCCTCCAAGGCAAAAGCCTCACTCCGAGCCCACTTCACAGCGCTCGCCCGGCGTTCAACTGCGCAAGTCGGGCCTCAGTCCCGGCCATGCGGAGCCCAATCCTGGACGCTACAGTGGAGCCGGCACGTCTGCAGCAGCTGCAGGTCGTCTTTCTCTTCCAGACTCCTCTCCGGCCTGTCCAGTCTCCGGAGTTCACTCCAACTTTCCAAAGTCCCTCGTCTCACAAGAGCCCTTTTCCGGCCTGCCCACTGGCCTCCTGACGCACCCACCGACCGGTCATTTCTGTCCGACTCTCGACTACTCAGGCCATCCGAGCCCATCTCAAGCCGCAAATATCCAACAATCACAACATGCACAACAACAACACCAACATGCTCAGCCATCGTGTAGCCCTTTAATGCTCCATCGTAGTCACCAGCTGATACAGCTTCAGTCAGCCGTGCAGCCAATTTCACCTGCCACCAGCTACGCCCAGTTTTCGCCACAAATGGTCAATTCTGGCCAATTGTCGTCATCTCAGTTCAAACAACAACAACAACAACAACAGCAGCAGCTCCAATTGCACCTACAAATCCAACTACAGCAACAGCTCCGACAGCATCTGCAACACCAGCATCAGCAGCAACAGCAACAGCATCAGCAGCAACAGCATCAGCTGCAGGCGCAGGCATACCGCCAGCACCAAGAGCTGCAACAGCACAAACTGCAGACCATCCAGGCACAGTTGAAGTCTCAACAACACGCCCTTCTTGGCGGAGTTCGAGCCAGCGCCGGTGCCGGGTCAAGCACAGGCATTGCCTATCCCGGCGCAACTGGAACCATTTCCAGCGGGGTCGCAGCTGCCCAACTCTCGTCTAGCCCGTACCGTTGTCTGGCCAGCCAAGCACCCCAACTTGGAAGCCCATCCTGCCTTTCCGCCCATGCTGGTCTTCCTGGCGTACAGGCCATAGCTGCAAATCAAGCACTCACTCAAATAGGGGCTAGCAACGCTGGACAAGTCCAAAATATTGGCGGCCCGTCCAACAGCTCTTTGGTAGCC